ACCAACTTACAAAGCTGGTCTTTTGTAAAAGTAATTCAAGAGACAGAAGGAATTGGGCTATTGCTTTCTTCTGTCCCCTGGCATCAACCATTTAATATGGGCAAAATGCTAAAAAAACCCAACAATGCCTACCTCAACAAAAACGAAGTATTGTTAGTCTTAAAAATGCTATTGGTAGAAATGTGCAAATATATATTCTGGCAGCATCTAGCTGACCATGACTAAACTTAAGAATAAGCAGGATATATTTTTTTTATACCACATCTGAATTTATTATTTTATTGTTCATAATGTATAGAAGAGAGAGATTGACACTTTGCTTTAAAGTCTGGCCAAAATTGGCCCAGACAGCTCATACAGGGAGAGCATGGCTATGTACAGGTAGTCCTTGACTTACAACAGTTCATTTAGTGACCATTCAAAGTTACAGTGGCACTAAAAAAAGTGACTTATGACCATTTTTCACACTTATGACCGTTGTAGCATCCCCATTGCCATGTGATTTACAGTCGGAAATTTGACAACTGACTCACATTTATGATGGTTGCAGTGTCCCAGAGTCACGTTGCAACCTTCTGATAAGCAAAGTCAATGGGGAAAACCAGATTCACTTAACAACCGTGTTACTAATTTAAGAACTGCAGTAATTCACTTAACAAATCTGATGAGAAAAGTCACAAAATTAGGGCAAAACTCTCTTAACAAATTTCTCACTTAGCAACATAAATTTTGGGCTCGATTGTGGTCATAAGTTGAGGACTACCTGTAATTTGAAAACTTGTTATTGTCATCACCATTTAAAGGAAAAACCAGTGAAATCCCTCTCTGCCTCTTCAGGCCTGATTGCATAGTACTGTGGTTATCATTATCTCCTCATTAGTTAAGGTGGAATATACAGTGTGGTAGTCAGGGATACCATTATAGTTATACACACACTGCAAAGCACCTTCCAGATTTTAATATTTTTAAAATATTGATTTAATTATAAAGCAGGGATACGCAATCTCATCATAAAGGGATGTTTTATGACCGGCCATACCCATTATAGAAGTTATTTTGTGAATATGAAAATTCTTTCCATGACAATTAATTATTGTTGGGCCCTTAATATTCCAAATCTGCTCATTAATCTAAAAAAAGTAGCTTTCCTAAAATTAAGGAAGGAAACTGAAGGTCTGTCTGGAACAGCGGCTTCAAAATTTTCCACGGCATTTAACATTTCCATAAAAGAAGATGGTGTTTCAAGAACAATCTCTTACAAAATCTATTACCTTGGTTAACATAAATAGATGGGGAAACCAGTGGAAAATAATAGCACAGAAAGGTGCGAGATTTAGGAATGTCCTTGACATGTGGTTTGGGAGTACATGATACCATAATCATGCTGCAACTAAGCAAATTTGCCCAGTGATCTCTCTAGATCCATGATGACAAACATATGGCATGTGTGCCACAAGTGGCACCCAGCACCCTCTCTGTGGGCATGCGAGCCGTCACCCCAGTTCAGCTCTGCCATGCATGTGTATGTGGGGGCATGTGGCCAGCTGGTTGTCGGGTCTCTGCCATGCATGCATGGGGGGCATGCGTGGAGCACGCAAGCATGTGCGGGCATGGGGGCGTGCATGCGCGGGGCCATACGCACATCGCATTTTGGGGGTCAGGCACACATGCGTGCATTCACAAATGTATATGCATGCTTTGGGCACTCAGTCTGAAAAAGGTTAGCCATCACTGCTCTAGATCATGTATGTGCTGCTTTGAATTTAATTGATGACAGGGAATAAAAAATAAACAAGGGAGCATTCTCTAAAAAATTGTTCCCACTTGGAACATTTGGATTCAGGATATCTTCTATGCCCATTTCCAAAATAAATGTAAAGACATGCTCACAGGGTCTGTTCCTAACCCCAATGATTGTTTCCTGATTGCTTATTTGTACCCTATGACTATCATTAAGTGTTGTACCTTATGATTTTTGATGAATGTATCTTTTCTTTTATGTACACTGAGAGCATATGAACCAAGATAAATTGCTTGTGTGTCCAATCACACTTGGCCAATAAAAAATTCTATTCTATTCTATTCTAAACATGTATTGCAATGTCACAATGCAACACCAGCCATTTCCATACTTGTGTCATGGTGTCACATACTGGTACATAAGGGGCAGAGTTTCTCTCTCAACCTTGTAGTGCATGCTTAGGTGTTTGCTCCTGTGAAGACACCTATGGTGTTTCTTTGTAGACAAAGTAATGAGAGGATTAACATAATGCATGAAAGCACTGAGTACGTTATGCAAACAATGCATGGTATTTCATTCACATCCTGATGCAATTGATGCAAATTAAATCATCTGCATTATTTGTTTGATGAAGTCACAATGAACGCATGTGACATTATGGCCTCTATCCAATGCATACAGTGAAATTTGAATACTCCATCCTCGCTATTTTCCATCAATATTTGGGCCCTACCTCTTGAATATTTCTTCATGAATGGTGTCTATGGCTTTAATCAACTCTAACATTCTTTCATATAAAAACTAAAAGATTTATCTGCAAACCTTCCAAGTGCATAGAAGGCTAATAAGAGGAAAAAATATATAGCTGTACTCCATAATGTAGTAATTTATTATCAACACAGGAACTTCTGATTATGCAAAACTTTAGACCTTCAGAGATATTTTCCAAAAGGATGTGACATAGATAGCCCATAACTTCGGTAACCATACATTGGGAATTTCTGGGTTAGATGACCACAAATGTTTTGGGAAGATTTCCTTAAAAATAGTTTTCAAAAAATTAGCTAAATCAAAATTGAATGGGTAAATTATGCACATTGGATATTCTGATCGTAATCTGCGTCTACATTGTTTCTGCCAAAGGAATATGCATTTCAATAGTTATCCTATACCCCAGGTAAATGGAGAGAATCTTCTATAGTGGTAATCCCTGTTACAAAATACTGTTTCCAAAAACTGCTGGCTCTTTATATTTTCCACAGCTTTAATGTAGCCTTTTAAGTTCTCAGTATAACCTGGTTTTTATCTTGGTTTCTTTTCCCATATGCTTCCATTCGAATTATTCAACTGCACTTTACATATATTTTTAAAATCCTCTTAAGCTCTTTTTAGGTAGCAAAAATAACTATAATAAATAAAATAAATATGCACACAAAATGCGACACACATAGCGGAAAATAAACTTTTGGGACAGAGAATGTTATAAATTTTAGGAAAAAGAGAAAGTAAGCCTCTCAGCAATAGGCAACAGTGTACTAAGTAAAAAGATGATGCTACAAAAGTGAATCTCTGAATTTAACTACTTTTATTTATTTTTATTTATTTATATTTCATATTTCTAAACTGCCACCTCCCTCAGATACTGATCGAGGTTTGTCTGCCTCTATCTTTTCTTCCATGTAGCCTTTTGGAGCAAAAGACTTTTAAAAATGAAAGGTTCAAAAAAAGGCTGCCTGTTCTAATTCTTTACCCTAGGAAAGGTTGTTATAAGACCTGTGAAAACTGAGATCCTTTTCCAAATATCACTTAAAAGCACTGAGAAAGCACATTCCTAGTGACTTCCAATGCTTACTTTTTTTATGGGTAAGCAGGGCTTACACAGCACTGTTTTCCACAAATAAAAATATTTTCCTACTATTTAATCCCATTTTCCTTTGCCCTATCATCAATGGATTGCAATTCTGTTTCCCCACTTCCCTACTGTTGTCTTCTTTAAAACAATCCATCTTCTCACCTGACATTCTTTCTTATACTGGTCAGAAAAATTCAGTAATGATTTTGTTCTGATTCTTCTCCTCAGTTTGCTCACCATTCATTAGCCTGCTACTCCAGAATATGGATTTTTGTTGGGATTCAGCAAGTTGTCCAGAGACTTGTTTTTGCAACATTTTTAAAAAGACTCTGGAGTTGCTACAAGCTAACAGGATACATGTTTATATATCAAACACATATATAATATTTGTCGATCCTGAATTTCATCTTGAATATACTGCACATATGGACCCCTCAAAGTACACGATTATTTTCAGTAATATAATTATTACTATTTTCCTGTCGAACAGTTGTTTTTTTCTAGAGTGTCTTGCTCAGTGAATCCAGCTAGCAGAAGAATAACTCTGATTTCATAATATATCTGATCACAGAACTAGGCTTAGTCTTAGACATTTGTTACTTTATATAACATGTATACATAATCTATTTTGCAGTATAGTTGAATGTTCATGGATCCGTATCAATTTTTTCCTGGTTTTATGACTCATTGATAATAGTTTAAAGGATTGATTAATAGGAGAGGGAACTTGGAAAATCTCCAAATATTCTGAACTTCAACTTCTGGAAACTCAAGTTGGGTTGGCCAGTGAAACTCTAGCAACATCTGGAGACCATAAATTCTCCATTCTAGTTCATACTTTTAATCCTTTCTTTCCGGAGTCGTACACTAGGACCTATGAATATTTTTCTCGTAATGTTGCTTCCAAAATATTTTACAAGGGATTTTTTTGTCTGTTTATCTATCAATAGCCTTCTTTTTCTACCTTCCAAGAAACAAACCAATGGGCAATAGGGCAGCAAAGGCATGAGTTTTTTTACTCACTGCTACAACTGTTCTGGTCTATATCTATTAATGCTGTTATTCAACAGTAGCCTATAATCATAATTAAGTTAGCCAGGCAAGATCCCAGAGTCCCCCCTCCCCAGATTTCTTAGCTTTAGAAAAAAAATCTTGATTTAAACATCCAATTCATCTTTTCAACAGATAATTAGTGAGATCAAAATAGTCATAATATTTTGAAATGTGTCTCTCAACAGCTTTTTCCTCAAAGAACAATACACAAATATGAGTTGTATCAATCAAATGCTAACCACATTTTCTTATACCAAAACTCTTGTTTTGTTTGTTCATTTATTTGTCCAATTTAGGTACCACCCATCTCACTCTCAGAGTGACCACATCCCATGAAAGAATTGCATGACATACCTTAAGTTCTCTGAAGAATATGCTACTCCTAGCCCACTCGACAATTGAGAAGAGGGTTTGGTCAGCCATTTTGCACATAAGCCCAAAAGTGTTGAGCTTTTCATGCTTGCTTCTGTTGGCCTGCTCTTGTTGCAAGTAGGCCATAATCTTAGCTTGGACTTGCGGCTCATCTGGCTCACACTTCAAGAGTTCCAAAATCAGATGAGGAATACTTGCTGGTGAGCTGGTCTGATGGTAACCATCCATGTAAGAGTAGCCCATTATTGACTCTGGAGAGCTAGTATAAGGGTCAGGGTACTCAGACTTGATAGCACGGCTTGGAAAGTGACTGTAGCTCTGATAACCTTGTAGGCTACCATGTGGTGGCATTGTCATGCTAATTGGAGAGGTTACAAAAGGACTTCGGTCATAGTCTGTGGGAGGCAAGGCTGTATGGTTCAGAGGTAGGCCCTTGGAGGCAGAATGGATGTTCTGAATTGCAGAAGATATTGTGAGATCAGTGGGCATTGCTTGAATCACCTGAGTCATGGCTTCTAATTTGAGTCCATTTGCTCGGATGAGAGCTTTCTTCTGCTGCTTCAGTGCCCTGTCCCTCTTGTACATGGGTCCAAATTTGTTCCGACCTCCACGCATTCGGTCAGCTCTCACAGCTGTTGAATGTAGCGGTGAAAAAAAAAGTTATAGGTATCACATTGCAGACATGATACAAATACAAATACTGATAAGAATCTCATGATTTTTAGTCTTCGATCAACCTATAGCACAAGTTTATGTTGAGTATACCGTGTTTTCCCCAAAATAAGACCGGGTTTTATATTAATTTTTGCTCCAAAAGACGCATTAGGGCTTATTTTCTGGTTAGGTCTTATTTTGGGGGAAATACGGTACTAAATGCATCCATCTGGCTGACAATCTTAACTGGGGCTTATTTTGGGGGTAGGGCTTATATTACGAGCATCCTGAAAACTTATGCTAGGACTTATTTTCTGGTTGGGTCTTATTTTCAGGGAAACAGGGTACCTGTTTAAGGGTTTTTATTTTATTTTAGTGTGCTGCGGTGGTGCAGTGGTTATAATGCAGTATTGCAGTCTAACTCTGCCTACTGCCAGGAGTTCAATCTCGATCGGCTCAAGGTTGACTCAGCCTTCCATCTTTCCTAAGTCATAAAATGAGGAACTAGATTGTTGGGAGCAATATGCTTATTCTGTAAACCACTCAGAGAGTGCTATAAGGCAATATGAAGTGGTATATTAGTCTAAGTGCTATTGTTATTGTTATTTATTGTAATTTCACTTTTGATGAACCACCTGAGAAGTTCTAACATGGTGAATAAAAGTATTGTATTAATTTGCAAGCATTTATTACTTTCTTGTTACATTACTGTATGAAAGCATACTGGTGAATAATCTAAAAAAGTATAATTCAAGATTAGTGTATTAAATTTTCTAGTAAATCTAACAGGAGAGGGCTAATAAATTCTTCTGCTAAGCACAAAGGTCTCAAAATTGCATTTGGGAGCAGTGCAAGACATTTTAATAACAGCTTTTCAAAATGCTTATCATTTATTTTTTCCAATGTTTATATTCTTTTAACTTAACCCCTTGAGTAGATGTTATTTAAAGGCATGTAATGCTCTTCACATTGGCCCTTATTCTGAAAAGAGGAATCTCACCAATTTTGGAGAGAGGTAATAAATTGCACTATTGTTATTTCCTCACGTTGACTGCCTATGATAAAGAGCAAAGTGTCACCCAGACTAGAAATAAAAGGATTTTGCAACTTCCAATGCCATTCAAATCATATCGGAATTAGGGTTGTGGAGAAAAATTGTTGGTCTGGGTTACAGTACTATGTCGCTAGAACATGTTTTGAAAGCAGCAATATTTTACCAAGACTAACCTTCCCAAAGGTATTCAGACAATAAGAAGGGCCTTTGACAGCTGGGTGACATGCTGAGATAGCTGGAGGTTACGTTACTAAGCTTTTATCTTATAGATTAGCATGCCATTAAAAATGTATTAGAAATCCTAGGTATACAGAGACCTATAAAACTATCATAAAGATGTTAACAATTAATGATTTGATCCTAAAATGTAATTTATGAACTAGAATGCAAGACTATGTATCATAATCAAGGGAACATGCATATAAATATTAAAAATGTTTATAGCTGAAAGCAGGAGTTCCTTCCCATTCTGCTGATAACAAAGAAGAAGTCTGTTCATACAGGAGAATATTGCTAAGTAATCTTTAATAAATGAATAAGTAAACAAATATTGGTCAGAAACACATCTACTTGTATTTTCTTACTGGCAAAGAAAAGGTAAACAGAAATGCCTAACAAATTATAGTTAAATAGTTTTATCTACTCTACTCAACAATGCCACATTCTGGCATTAATTTTTGATTACTTTTTTTTTAAAAAGAAAAGAGGTGAATTCAGCCTCCTCCGATTATGGATTTTCCAAGATATAAAAGGTATGTAGCACATTCAAACAAGATACACGGACTTCTTTTCTTAATTATCATCTCTATCCAAGAGCTGTAACTTCTGCAAAGAAGTCAAGTCATGTTTCTTTTGGAAACTAGCATTCAAGGTCTCTGTGGAGCATTTGGTATGCTTCATCTCGGTATATCTCATTGAACAATTTCTGAAAGATTAGGGCTCTTTGTAAAACGATAAATGGGATTTTTCAGTGTATTTACAGAAGAATAAAGGAGAATAGTTGAGGGTTGAACTGAGGGGTTCTTGGTGCTCTCTGAGTAGGCTGTTTTTTTGCAGACATCTCATTACCCAACCTAGATAATATCACCAATGCTAATGACTATCACTGACAATGTCTATGGAGATTCTCAGTAATCTGTCCCAAAGATGCTTTTTCAAAAAGCAACTGGATGTTGCTTTATCTTGAAGATTTTCACTTCTTATCCAAGAAGTGTCTTCAGTTGAAGTAGAAGAAGTAGTTGAAGAAGCTTCTTGGATGAAAAGTGAAAGGTCTTCAAGGAAAACCAAAGTCCAATTGCCTTTTGAAAAAGCACCTTTGGGATAGCAGTGATGGTGGTACCTAGTTTGGGTAATGAAACAGCTGCAAGAAATATAACCAAGCTCAGAGAGCACCAAGGACCCCACATTCACAGAACACTTTATGCACATGCAGCCTCCTAATGTTTCTAACTTTGTTCCACAATATTCATGTTTTTGGTGAAATAATCTGTTACACCCTTTTGTCATACTCTTGTGTTCCTTATTGATTTTTTTTTTTAATGTAGAGACTATTAAGCCAGTAGTAGACATCATAGCTTCTCTGGATAAGACAGAGGTACAAAGTAGCAAAACATTTCTAGGTAATGCTGATATAGACAGTGAAAGCATTTTTGAAAAGAATTTGCATATAAGTGCTTACATCTTGTGTTCTTGCTCCCCTTCTAAACCTTCTAAATATTTTTTGCTCCTAAACAAGAAGCAAACTTGTCTTGGATGTGTTTGTGAGACTGACCTTGTAAAGTGCATTTGCAAAAGAGGAGTACAAAGTATACAATCACTTGAGAATTGTTTCCTACTTCCTACCCAATCTCCATTTATTGTATTATCGTTATTCTGGGAACTGCAGATTTCAAAACATACATTTGATGCAATGACTCTTAACTCCGCCCTGATATTATCTGTTAATTCCAATCTAGATTGCTGTAGTTCAAGGAGTCCGAACAGCTCCAAAGTTAGGTTTAATTGGCATAATTAAATTATTCTGGAATGAGAAGTTTGTGGATCGCAATCCCTGTGGGCTAAACTGTTCACAAGTTCTACGTCTGTCCATAAGAAAATAGTGAACTTCTAATGAGAAAATTAGCTGATTTGCAGTCTTTAGCATGAGAATTTAGGAACTGAACCAATGCTGGTGACTTTTTGAAATACAATTAAACCATGAGAATGTTTATAAATAATAAACATTATTATAAATGTTTATAATTTATAAATAAATATTAATCACTACCTCCTTTTTCAGATAAAAAATATTTTGCATTATCTCAGAATCAAAGCAACTTCAAAAAAATAATGAAATCCCTACCAATAAAATTTAAGTTATTCATTAGTTGACTAAAGATTGAAATTATTAATAATTAAATTATAGTTCCACATCTTTGAAAATATATGAACATTAAAACCAATAAACCACAGTATTAAATGTTAGAAGGAAGATAAATTGTTATCAGTGGGATGTTCCCAATATTGTGTTTTTAACTGGACTATTAAATATCAATGAAGAGAAGAAATGAAGAATAAACCAGTCCCCATAACTAGAGTCATATATATATAAATACAAATATTTGGCATGAAATTTTTCTTTCCCGTCATTGAATTCTTACAAACCAATGAAAATGTCATACAGCATTACTTTCAAACTAGCAATGATTTAACCTAACAGAGGTGGAACCATGTAGACTGTTGAATTTGTAGTTACCAAAAAAAAAAAAAAAAAAAGACAAAAGTGAATTCCATCAATATTCATTGTTAAAAAAATACTACTAAAAATAGCAAATATACTACTAGCCTACATTAGGCAAATATTTATCAGAAAAGTTTCAAAACTTTTTGACAGCAAGATTCATTGTTACAATATATATTTTTTGAGCTAACTTTTGTTTTCTTGTTTCAGATTCTGTTACAGTAATTTACTCTGAACACAATAATGTGACAAGATGTAGCTCATATATTATCAATGGCCTACGGAGGATTATAATATACCTGAATAATTTCATAAAAACTGAAAACTATTTCTATTGGATGAGTAATGAGGGTTTTGTTGTTGTTGTTTTAAGAAAACCAAGATCTCTTTCTATGAAGTGCTAAATCATTGTTTAGTCAATGATTAGCCCAGCTGCATAATCCCTGCATACAAGCAATTCCACTGATAAACAAGAATGATCAATTGTCTCCGAGAGGGAAAACATGTCCAATATTCTATATTGTACTGTATTTATAACTTTCAGATATACCTGAAATGATTTCATTTTAGAAATCACTACAGTATCAGTTTTTCCCTCAACTTATTATTTTGCCTGCCCTGATTGAATTTTGTTTGCCTAAAGAAATCAGTGTCATTTGTTCTAAGTATTTGTGATTAATTCTGGATAGTGTGCACTCTTTGAAAATTATATTGTACAATTTACTGTACAATATAATTGTACAATTATACATATTTTTCTAATGCTTACATCTGAAATGAGCCTCTAAGTACCAAAAGCAGCAAATGGGACAAGGGAGCCTTCAAAACTCTTTGAGATTAAGTTGTAGTAGTGAATCATAAGCTTCCATTGTTTTTGGTCCATCATAAGCAATCATTCTTTGAAATAACACCTCAAATGACAACAGTTTAAATAATCCACACAGAAGGACTTGTATTTAATATGTAATTTTTTTATATATATATTTATGCAGCAACAATTGCAGACCTTACCTTCCAACTTCATCCCAACACTTAGACATTTTTGAAACCGACAATAAGGGCAGCGTTTTCTTTGAGTTTTGTCAATTTGGCAGCTTTGATTTTCTATACATGTGTACCTTTTGTTGTTCTGGACTGTTCGCTTAAAGAAGCCCTGTAAAATAGATAGTACATATTTACAAATTGGGCACAAATGGCTTGAACCAGGAATTGACTTCAGATTATGAAAACATTCACCCAATTCCTCTCTTCTACTGTCATCTTGCTAATTCAGCATTTATGAAATGGCTGGTTTGGTCCCACATTTCCTTGGCGGAAACCCACTAGGCCACAGGCACACTTTTTCTGAGGATAGTCTACGCTGGTGTTGATTTACATCAGATCCTAGCAATGCATCTTTATTGCTTCCCTAGTCATCATCTACCAGTAGCAACTTGAATGAATTAAAATTATTTTCAAATGATTCCAATTTTTTAAAGTGGCCTTTCAAAATCACCTAATGCCGAATTTTAAGACAAATCTTCCCTATGGTGTAAAAAAAAAAACAAAACCTTGCCTATTTTTATTCATTTTTAAAGATTTCACTAATATGAATCCTAACTCAATTCTAAATCCCAAATGCAAGGAAGTTTCCCCAATCTACCGCTTGTTACTCTGGTTTCTCCTGCCTCTGCTAGTATACTATTCTTCACTTTATCATCCATCATTACTGATATCACCTTAATTCTCTGATATTTAAAACTGAATTTTAAGCTGCCTATTAAACTCTTTGGGATTTTAAAAAAGTTAGTTGCAAGACTATTTTTCTTCCCCCTTCTCCCAACACTAAGTACAGCTGCATAAATTGCTTCCGGTGGCCATGATGATTAAAATCATGTACTAAGTAAGGAATATTCTGGTTCTCATATCTCTTTATGGTCTGGGAATAGTGGATGATAAGTATAATTACATGGGGGTGGTATTGTAGTGTGATTAACTTTTGATTCAGCATGAATACTGACTTGCTCAAAAGTTCCCTTAACCAAATGTGACTCAAGTAACTTTAGCAGATACAGGTTCTGGCTATGTAAATATTTCTATAGAGTCCTAAAATTATATATGTGTTACTCCAGAAAGCCGTGCTAAAATGATGTTGCTTTAGTACTATGAAGTAAACAATTTGCTCGGTTTCTATACTAATCCAGAATTATTTTACAGAATTGCAATTTAGTCCAGATCTCAGGCACGGTTCAAGGCAATCTAAGGTTTTATTAGCTGGATACATGGCACTGGCCTATAATTTTGAGACTCCAGCTGGTACGCATAAAATGAAATGCATGAGCAAAAAAAAAAAAAAAATATTCATAGTGATGAATGGCATTTTAAAACCATTTAATTGATTTCCACTTAATCACCTTGCAGATAAATATGGACATAAAATGCTGTGTATGTATGAGCATGTATGCACATTTATAAATATGTGCAAGCATAAAAAGAATGTCAAAAGAAATTTACATTTGCATCCTGAAAGATGAAAAACTTGAAACAGTTGCCTTCAATATTGTAGCCCTGAAATTTATCAGGAACAAGATGCAGCAACAATAATACTCAATGTATATAAATCAACTAAAATCAATATTGAGGACAGCTAGGAATGAAAGTCTCTCTACAACTACATCACTTCACGACAACCAAATATTTAAAGGCAGTAAATATAGCCACTCTATAGTGAACACCGTGGGCAAGGTTTTCTTTCCATTGGCTTAAAAATAGACCCTTATTACTCTTTACACAACTTCTGCCTTCTTCTCAATATTCTTTTTTTCCATTAAAAATAATAGAAGTATGATTGCCTAGCCTTTTTTCTTGATCTGATTTTCAGCTCCCTCCCCCACTTTCCCCATGAAAATAAATTGTACAAAACCTTGCAACTTTCACAGGTAAGGAGTCCATAGTGATACCCAGAGACTTTATCTCCACAGACTGGACACAGTTCTTCAAGATCTTCATCATAAGAGTAATTCACCATTTTAAACTGAGACACTGGGAGGGGGGAAAAAAGGAAGAAAAGTAGTAGGAGGAATTAAACTCTATGAGAATGTACACAAAACATTTGATGCATTATTTATTTCCTCACTGGGGAAACAATTCCAGGACATCCATGGGTTTTTATTTCCCTTTAAATCCTCAAAACAGGAAAACACAATTTTGAAACAGCAGATTTTTTTTTTTAGCAACCAAAAATATTCTCTCCAAATTCAATTTAGCAGAATAAAACCTGTTAAAACTACCCACAGTTCTAAACACCCAGCAAGCATTTTATTTTACTAATTCCCAAAACTGGTTTTCCAAAATATTAAATTCTTAGTTCACTCCTATTTGTGCTTACACAGAAGTAGGCAGGACTAGTTCAAGACATCCTACTCTGAAGTTTACATGCCTGAGGCTGCAGTCTTACTTTTCTTCAGTTTATTGTTCTTGGGATAAAGATCGCCATTTATTTGTACTATATTTAAACTGTAATTGCATTTAAAAATTAAAAATCAGATGACTAAGTGGAAAAGTAACTTTTCTCTGTACTTTGAAAGTTCGGCTATAACAAGTCACCTTAAAAAAATGTTTACCTAACCCCCATTTCAAATTCACAAAACTAGTAGTCTGAGTGGGGAAAAAATCGACAGCTTACAACAGTATTTTAGAAGCGAGATGAAGGGAAGGGGGAAACTGTAGAAGGAATTGTAATTTTTACATATCCATCAAACTTGTCTTTAGAAAAAAACATTCTTCTGCCTTAACTCTTTTTCCTTACTGTCTTAACCCACCAGAGAAAATACATAAACTGTTCAAAGATTTAGAGAGACCCTTTGGATTTCTCTTGCAAACTTCTTCAAATGCTGGTAAATTGTACAAAACAAAGAAGAAAGTTTTACGGCAATCTTCCTTCCTTCCTTCCTTCCTTCCTTCCTTCCTTCCTTCCTTCCTTCCTTCCTTCCTTCCTTCCATCCATCCATCCATCCTTCTTTCCTTCCTTCCTAGGAACACAGATCTTTTACTTCAGACAGCAGCGAGAAAACTCTGCTAAGAATTAATTCTTAACTCTTAAGAATTAAGAGTTAATTCTTAACTCTGCTAAGAATTAATTCTTAGCAGAGGAAGAAGAATTCCTAAGCATTAGGAAAACTCCTAAGAATTAATTCAATGAAATGGAAAGACCCAACTGATTTAGGAGCGAGATCCTCATGAAAGAATCCGATTCCTGTCGGGGGACCGAGGGAATCGGTGTTCCACCGACTCAAGGGGGGCGGGGGAGAACCAGAAAATCTGCTAGTTTGAGTTCCCCACTCTTTCGTTTCTCGTCGCCCCCCCCCCCCGCCTCAGACTATTCTAAGGGGAAAAGTGGGCTGATCTCTTTAAGAGAAGAAGGGATCGCTCGCCTGCGGGAATGTAGACGAGCCTTCTTCTGGTAGAAAAAGGTATGTTTGGTCCGAGTCGGAGTAGCGAGCCAGATTCAAGGGAGGCCAGATGTATCCAAGGTAAGCAACTGGGGCCAGACGGGGCAGAGAAGGATCTTCACCCCACCCCGAAGAAACTTCGCCAGCTGCTGACCTACCGTTCCTTCCCCTGTCTACAACTCCACTTCGTTTTCCACCGATTTGCTCCATTGAGGAAGCGATTCTTCCTTCCCCAGGTGACCAGAATCCCAGGAAAGAATGATCGCGAATGTCTACGGGGAAGGGGTGAGGGTAGTGGGTGGGTGGGAGGGAAGGGAGAAGAGAGAAATGACCTAAGTCTTCCCTACTCCTCCATTGGGTGGGAGCTTCCATTCAAGTCAAAAGCTTCAATAGTTGGTCAAACTTTCTCAGAACCAGTCGAAAGGGAGCTTCGGAGAAGAAGCAGGAAAAGGAGAAAGTCTATCGAAGCGTCCCCAAACCGAGGGGTACAAAATGGAAGAGGAGAGAGAGTGAGAGAGATGGCAGTGTGTGGGGGAGGGGAGGGAACTTCCAGGAAGACTTTTGACCAGGGAAGGAAGAAGCTGCAACCTGAACCCGGATCCCTCGCCCACCTCCGCCGAAGCGTTGAGAAATGGGAACGTTGAGACCTAATTTCAAAGGTGCGAAGAAAACGGGAGAAGTGGGAAATATACAGAATCGTGCCCTCCGAAAGCCCTTTCCCGGATTTTTAAGGCACACAGCAGGCAGACCATTGACCGTTGATCTGCCTACTATTGGAGGCGCTGACTGGCAGTGGACTTTTGGGTGGGAATTTTAGGTAGGAACTAGGAAGACCCCGTGGGTCCTTCCACTAATAGACGGAAGTCTTTCGAAGTCTTTCATTTTTCTCTTTTAGACGGAGCAGCGGCGCAACCCCAAATTGTTCGGTACCCCAAATGTAGTTAGCAGTAAAGATGCGGTTGGATGGGTTAGCAACGACCCAGTTTTGGTTTCGGATCTATTCAGATAAAAGAGTTGGAGAAACTCTTTCTCGCACACAGATATTGCCCGATTTGTAACTTGGAACTGAGGTAGTTTTGGATCTCGACTGCAAATTGAGATTCTTTCAGAGGCCGGTTCCCAGAGGGGCTTCAACTCGAGAGGATAAAGGACCGAAGCCAAAAAAAAAAAAAAAAAAAGATCCGAAAGCCGCATCTCCAAATCGCTTCGTTGTGGGGGAAACCACGAAGGGGGGAAAACGCCTTAAGAAAAGCACGTTTCGAAATCTAAAAAACTGCCCACCTGCCCTCCCCGTTTGCCGCTGTGTGCGCCCGAATCCCCGAGGACAGCCCCGCGCCGCCTTCTGGAGTTCCCGAAACGGGATAAAGGGCTGAATCGAGGGATGGACGGACGGATCTGGGCAGAAGCGGCGAAGGAACCGTCAAGAACCGAGAGGCCAAAGGGTTTCGCCTCTCCGTCCGGGATGGGCGCCTCCAATTCTGTTTGCTCCATCATGTAAGGCCATTCTGAGCTGATGGGCAGCATCTCAACCAGGAAGAAGCTTTTAAGCCGACTGGAGTTTTCCCGGCAGAGCCGTCAAGGCAGAACTTCAACTGTCAACGACCCCGGAGAACTGAGCAGGACCTCCCGTAAGGCTTGCCGTCGGTGAAGTAAAAGGAGGCTGTATTACAGTTTTAGTTCATTTACCTGCAAATCTCTTAGAGCTTCTTCTAGCATCCTCTCCAGCCCTCGTCGAAATGAACCCGCACCAGGCTGGTTGGATGCCTCTAGAAGACGCCATAAGCAATTATTGGAGACCCAGGCCAGGGTTTATAATTGCCTTGTTGTATTTTCGGTCAGACTTTCGCAGGGGGAAAAAAAAAAAAAACCTGACCCGCCCCATCACTCTCCTACCCACGCTGACCCAACTATCCGTGTCCTTCTTATGCCGAATTCAAAGCACCATTGGCAATTCCTGCTGACATCTCCTTACTACACTCTGGGATCGGACAATTGCGTTTCCTAAAGTGATAGAGATGCTCAGGAACGGGCATTCCAGCACACGACTTCATTTACACAAGGCACCCGCCCGCTTCACCATATTTCTAAATTAACTCGCGTTCTGGGTTCGGCCCTTGAAGCAGAAGCAAACCTAAAGGGCTGGTACTTATGGACCCCTTCCCAAGAAAGTTTAACCAACCAGACCGAATACCAAATTTGGCACGTTCTGCGAACGCACGCACTAAATCTCTCCCTCAGCTTCTAGCGCTTAATGGGGGTGGGGGTAGGGGTGGGAGAGAGAATACAGCCACTATGTTATCTTCCTCAGCAGCAAATCACATTATCTCTCTTCCCTCCTCCTCCTCCCCCAGTCAAAAGCCGTGGCACCAAGTTATTTTGAGACTTGAAGGGCTGGTTGGTTGGTTTTAATCCCATTTCACTACTCCTGGCTGATAAATGGTGATCACGGTTTTCCGCCCTATTCCGATCCCCACTAGTCAGCCTTCGCTTTGCATAATGGGAGCTTTCCCCCCACCCCGCCTCCATCCGATTTGAAACTTGCACGGCTTCCATGCCATTCAGAGGCTTCCGCGAATTACTTGGCCAAGCCCTTCCAGATGGCGCGACGTTTTGAGGAGCTACGCGCAATGTCGCCCCACAGCCTTCAGAAACACGCCGATTCTTTTGTCGACGCCACTACTGGGAACTTCCAGGGTTTTTGTTTCCCCCTCCCCTTTCGAATTAAATAAATACAATTAAGAGCTTACGCCTGATATGACTTCGGGTTCAAGTTAGGGGAAAACCCGATTGAAAACAACGGAACGAAGCTTCCATCCTGAATACAGAGTTAACATCATGGGGGTTTTGCCCCAAGAGCCTTCCTAAGTATCGGCAGTCAAGGGATTTTTCCCTCCCTTCCCCCTGGCCAAAGACCCCTACGTTTTAATTGATCAGCCGTCCTCGATAAGAACTGGGGAAGATGTTTAAAATATAACTCAAATTCGCCTTTTGAATTTTCATTGAAGGGAAGCTAAGGGGCACGAAGGGGGCGGTGTGCCTGGAAGAGATTGCCGGCTCACAAAGTGAACAGAGGCGCTGCTGGATTTCCCGTAGCAATTAGGCTCAAGCAGCTCCCCTCCCCCACATCCCTACTTTCTTTCTCCCCGGCCCAGCTGTAACAAAAAGCACCTTAGCAATTCTTTCCTGTCCTGTCTTTTGTAAAGTTTCCCAGAGACTATTGCAAATCCTGCGCGCTTTCTGAAAGAAGCGAAGTCTCTTAAGGCGTTAGGACTTAAGGATTCCTCACAGGTATTAAAAGTGGAAGCCAATCCAGTCTCCCCCCCAAGGTTTTATATTCCCCGCGTTCAGGGACCCCCGGGACAGCGAGCTAAGCTTCCCGCGGCCCCGGCGGAAAGTAACTGTGGCTTCAGCACAGCAATAGGCTCAAATCCCAAGTCACGGGGGTGGGGATGGGGGACGGGAGAAGACGGAAAGGCGTTAAGAGCCTTGCATCACTGCGCGGAGCACTCTAGGTCCGTTCCCGCCATCTGCTAGCTAGGGGAGTTTTGCTCTGGAGGAAAAAAATTTAGAAAGATTCCGTGCGATGTTTTTCCACCCTTCCATTCCCTGCTTGCTTCCCTCGCCCCAGTGATCGCTGGGATCGGAGAAGGACGGCGCGGGATCAACTAGATCCCTCCCGAACTTGACGTCTCTTTTTCTACCCTTCACAAGTTTAGGATTCTTTTTGTGATTTCCTCCTTCGGCATCTTCGCCTCGTCTGATCCTTGTAAGGTCCGCTAAAGAACTTCGCCTGGCCCTTAAGCCGGGGTTTGCTAAAGCTACAATCTCTACCTTCTGATGCTTCAGGGGACGCGGTTAGTTAGCAGCATTCAGGGACCGTCTCGGAAAACGTGTACGCGCACACCCACCTTCTTGCTTTCTGTTGAGGACGTTCCCTAGTTTAATCAGTCAAACTCCCATTAAAAAAAAAAAAAAAAACAACCCTGCCCTCGGAGGCAGGAGAATTTCCCCATAAATGTTTAGACGCTTCTTCGTCTGTCTCCCACCCCACATCTTTCTTCCTTCCTTCCACCCCCCCTTTTTTCCCCTATCAATCATACTAAAGCGAACGGTTTGGGAGCAACACTGTTGGGATGGCCGACCCTTCTAATTTTGTTTTGAAAGCCGAATCTCCCCCCCCTCCCCCGAAACGATTTAAACCCCTCCGTAACTAGGAAAACCAGTCCCACGAATTAGTCTGCAGTCTGCCAGTTCATTGATTTTTATAGCTCCTTGAAGGACGCCGACTCCGGAGTCCAGCCTCGCCCGGATCCCGCGCGTTTGTTTCTCGTCGTCCCCGCCAAGAGAGGCCAACCGCTCTCAGCCTTCCTTACAAGAAAGCCGGCTCCCGAGCCCTTTTCTCTGGGCCGCCAGCTCCGGTTCCCTTCCTCCCCCGCCCTACCTCCCAGGAGAGAAATCCCCTGGCGTTTTCCAGGGAGGAACTTCTTTCCAAGTGCGCCTCCGGCGGCCGCTGCACCATCGGCGCGTCAGACTTGAAAGTCCCTCAGCCTGACTTTTCGGGGGGCATTTTTTTTTTACTTTCCTTTACTTTGCACTACTTAAAAGGGGAGCTCGGGGGTGAGTAGCGGGAGGGTTTGACAGCAGCCTCCCCCCCCCCCCCCCCCCCCCGGCCAATAAGACGCTGCGATCAAGGCAGCCGAGAGCGAAGCGAGTCCCACGTGGGGAGCGAGGGCTTTCCCCGAGCCGTGGGTCGCAACCCGAAGCGCCTGAAAGCAGGGCTGTCTCTAGCGACGCGCTCAAAACCGCCGGTCCCAGGAGCCGCTTGCTGCGAGCTAGCGAGCCCTAACCCGGCATGCAGGAGAAAGAGGCGGCTGGGCTGGGCTTGGCTTGTCCTCGCCCGCCTTTTGACTTATAGGCACATCCAAGCTCCCTCGCCGCCCAGCCGTCCGTCTGTCCGGGCGCCCGGCGGTCCTCTCTCCCCTTACCTTGCATGTTTTCCGGCATGTGCCCCCGTTCCCCATTCGATCGGACCAATCCCAGGGCTTCCGTCTCCACTTTGGGCAGCATGTCAAGGCGGCCGCGGGCAGGGCTAGGCGGCGCGCCGGCTCGGTCAGTCCGGAGGCTGAGCAGCACCTGGAAGCTGATTGGAGCGGCGAGCCGGGGAAGCTGGAAGTGAGCGAGAGTCCGCTCGGCCGTTGCCTCTCTTGCCCTCGCAGCTGATCGCTCGGCAAACCTCGGAGTGGCGTCTCGGAGCGCTCCGATCCCAGACGGGAAAGGAGCGCTCTCTCGACCCCCCTCAAGCTTTCCCTCGGATCGCCTTAAAGAGGTTGGGAGGAGCGGGCGGAAGCGAGCGGGGAGAGGCGCGACCTGCCCAGCCCGGCTACCTCTCCCTGTCCCGAGCGCAGCAGGGGCATCGCGAACTTCCAAGCTTCCCTACTCCGGAGTCAGTCAGTTCTGCTTGGCGGATGGGCTCCGCTTTGGACAAAAAAGGAAGGGGGCACTTCCCAGCCCAGGCAAGAGGAGGCGGGGGGGGTTTGGGTTGGGTTGAGTCCGGGCCGAGCGTGTGAACGTGAGCGTTTGTATGTCCAGGGGTGGGGAGGGAGAGGAAGGGGAGCGCTGACACTGCCCGTGCAGCCAATGAGAAAGGCGCCCAATCAGACAAGGTTGTTAAACCTGGCGGACGAACCGTCTCCGCTTCCCAGGGAATGAGGAGAAACGCGCGCACGCCGGTATTCTGCCCGGTCCCGCCGACTACGGAGTTTCTTTTTTTTTTTCTTTCCTAAGGTCCATTCCCCTCCCCCCTCCCCCTTCCGCAACATTTCCGCTCCTCTTACTCTGCTAGCTCTGTGTAGGGGTAAAAGTCCGTCCGGAACGTGAACAGGTCCTTCCCCGGGCAAACAAGGATCGGGGGTGACTGTTTCATTGATTTCACACACACGCCCGCATCCAGGAGTAGGTCCTATCAATCCTAACCAACGGAAGGAGTAAGTTCCGAGTAAGGAGGGAAAGGCTGCTGGACCTCTGGCCCTGGATCCGCGTTTGCTGGGAAGGCGTTCCCGAACGCGAATTTAGAGACTCGGTTTCGTTCGGAAGAAGCCTACTGCCGTCTACTTCGACCACCTCCAAGAGACGCGGGGGGAGGGGGGTGTGGTGGGAGGAGAGAGAGAGATGGGCGAGAGAGAGAGGCGGTTATCCATTGCTCCGAGAGTAATGGACTTTGAGGCAGAGAATCGTCTTCGAACCCCCAACTACAGGCATGGAGACCAGTGCCCATTTATAGATTGAAAATGGGCGCATGATTGCACTCGGTGCAAAAGTTAACTCTCTCTCTCTCTCTCCCCCTTCCTCCCTCCTCTTTCTCAAAACCCGCCTCTCTCACACACACACTTACACACACTCTCTTTTGGGTTCTAACACTGACGCGCAACTTTTACATTCTCGCTACGTTCCTGTATGCTGCAAAACTGATCTTAACGCGCCCAAAGATTTTTGTTCCCACATTCTCCTAATCCACCTCTTAATGTTTCCAGGACTCAGTTTTTTTTAAAAAACGTAGGAGTTCGGTCCCAGGGCATCCTCCTCTAGAATTATTTCAACATAGCCCGAGTGAAACGCGTTTTTACTTTCGATAGCTTCCAAATGGGCAAACCGTGTGAAGCTTCTAATGAAATCAGTGAGACTTAAAGATGTTAGCGCTTGCTTGCCTCATAAGCTGCAACAACACAAAAGCAATAGGAGAAGAGCACCAACTCTTCTCCAGCCAAAGCAAAACTCTGCTAGGTTCTCCTGAAATCTCTCTGATCACCAAAGAATCACCGTTTAGCTTTTATATTCCGCACTCCTAGTTAGTATGCGCATTTTCTTTGGGTGAGGAAAACATTCATTCTCATTTGTGACCCAACATTTGGAGGCTTCGAGCAGCTTCCAACGTTTGGTTGTTATTCTTATTTTCTCTCCCCCCCCCCCAACACTTAAAAGTTCCCTCACTATTTCACTATTTCCCTCACTGACTTCCCTCACTATTCAGATCTGAAACAATAACACACCACACTCTACAAAACTGAACTGTGCTGGAGAATTTTGAATGAATCTTTACCAACAGACCACAAGAGTATGCAAATAAAATCAATTCTGCTGAACAGAAATACCCCTTCAAAAAAAGCAATCTTCTTATCATGGTATTTCTAAATATCAGCCAAGCAGGTGCTGATATTCTCATATACTGATAAAATCCAGAAAACCTGATCTGGCAGGTTTTGTGGATTAATAACTATAGAATAACTATAGAGAACTATAAAAAACTATAGAGAGCAGGTTTTGTGGATTAATAACTATAGAATAACTATAAAGAACTATAAAGAACTATAGAGGCATGCCTACTGTCCCTGTCCTAATGTCCTCTTTATTTGTATGTATTCAATTCCTGTTCCTGTGCAAGAACCTATATTCTACTGGCTGTTATAGGGGTCATAGCTAATTTTGTAGGTGCTGATGCAATGAAGGGACATTGGGCAAAAAACAAACAAACAAACAAACAAATTATAGGACTCAAAACTGCTTGCAAACTTTGGGGTTCTTCTCCAGAGCTCTTTCTTAGCTGAAAGATAAAAAAAAAAAAAAAAAAAAGGAAGGAGAGGCAGAAAAGTAGCTGACTATGCCTAAACTTCATGGCTTCTAAGCTCCATCCTCATCTTCTTTGAAAAGAGCCTCCGGGGGTGGGGATGGGGGGATGTTTATACAGAATATTGTGACTGTTTAAAACATTGTCATTGTTTTATGTCTCTGCAACTTTCCAATAGTTCCTCTAAGTATGAATTTTTCATACTCGTCAGAACAACTTCCTTGGCTTCTACAAAGAAATTCACTTAAGGTCCTGATCTTTGATTCTTTACTCAGTGGGAAGAGACTGCTTTCCATAAAGGATCTTTCTCTTTTTCTTTCGTCTTGTTGCTTTCCTAGAAGGGAGAGGAACCAACCATGCAACAGACCTCCGGGTAGCTCATGCAGCAAATTAAGGTTGGCAAATTAAGGGCAAATTAAAGACCGCCAATTAGCAAAAACCCTGCTCAGTCTTTTCTTCAAAGACTCCCCCTTCCTTCTTTCCTTGTTTTCCTACTGTGATCAGTGGATCTCTTAGACTCTTAGTGATGCTGCCAAAGGACAGAGAAGCGTCTTCCTCTGGGGAGGCCTGCTCTCAAGTCCATTATTATACACTCAGATTCAAATTCAAATTCAAATACCCCCCATTATATGTTATGCTATGCCCCAAACCTTTAATGGTTTGAGTGATGGCTTGGTTCACACAACATGCTAAGTTAAAGACTGGACTGAATGACAAGTTAGCCAGTTGCATTTTGTCTTGGTCCAGCATGTTGTGTAAATCTAACCCCCTATGTCTTGTGGTTATATCTGGCATTGTGCATTATTTATTTGTTTATGCATTTATTTATTAGACTTTTATTCTGCCTTTATTACTTTATAAATAACTGAAGGCAGCATACATAATAGCAATAGCACTTATATACCACTTCATATTGCTTTACAGCCCTCTCTAAGCAGTTTACAGAGTCAGCATATTGCCCTCAACAATATAGTCTTCCTTTTACTGACCTCAGAAGGATGGGAGGCTGAGTCCTCCCTGAGATGGTCAGGATCAAACTGCTGGCAGTTGGCAGAGTTAGACTGCAATACTAACCACTGGCATTCTAACCACTGTGCCACCACGGTTCTTTTATAATACTCCTTCCTCCTCCTATTTCTCCACAACAACAACAACCCTGTGAGGTTGGCTGGGCTGAGAGACTGACTGGCCGAAAGTCACCCACCTGACTTTCATGCCTAAGGCAGGACTTGAACTCATTGTTTCCTGCTTTCTAGATCAGCACTTTAACTACTAGGCCAACTGGCTATTGTGATAGAGTAAGTACATATAGATTAATACTACTCAGCATCTCCTGTGTACTTCCTGTGTATTTGTGTTAAATGGCCTTTCTTCCTTAAAGACAGTTTTTTCTTTAGCCATTTCAGTGCTAACAAGCATGGACCAGTTAGTAACATCCTACCCCACCTTGCTTCAAATAATCTTTAAAAAATGGGTCACCGCAGAAAAAGTGCCACATTGGGCTGTGGATACACCAACTGGAAAATACACTTGCATGCTACACCAACAAGATGTTATCTAACTTTGCATAGAGAAACACCTGACCTGAATCCAAAAGTTTTAAATCCTCACCTTTGAAACAGTATGGCTGGTGATCACCATATGCTCTAGTACTACCAAGAGAGGAACATGGAAAACAGTCCATCAGGCTTGAACTATGGCAATTGGTCAGCTTCTAAATATTACAAGGAATCATCAGAACTTGTGCGCAGAAGTTCTAAGATGCTAAATCCTAGATATGCTTGGAGAAAAGGCAGTGGGCCTGTTACCTCCTCTCCCTTCAGAAAGGGGCAGCGACACTCTTCTAACCACCCCTCTGTGAATATATTTGACAGTCAACCTTCTTTCTAAGCCATCCAATAGGAGATGTTTCTCTGCTCCTGAAGAGAGGCTCTAGAACAGAGGTCTCAAAGACTTTCTGTAAGCAGGCAAAATCTGCAGGATTCTAGCCAGCAGCATAGCTCTAAACAACCAGAAAGTCACAGACAAGGACACAGGTTGGTGGAGACTTTAATCTTCTAAACCTCTGGTGCGGATTTCACGCCCACAGTTACTACCTGTCTCTTACCTTCCCAAGGAAATGCTAATAATTTCCTAAAACCTTTGTGCCCAGTGCCAAGAAAGAAGAGCACTGAGTTTCTCAGCGAACAGCCCCATGCGTGCTCACCTGCAAATTTGCATCAGTAGGCACAGAGGGATTTGCATTGATGAGCTACGTTTAACACAGTTAACAATGGCATCTTCTGCACAGATTAAGATTTTAGAAAAAAAAATAAGGGTGGCTGAGTAGCTTTGGCCTCTTTTTGGATGGCTGCCACTCTAAAGAGCTTTGAATTAAGGTCCACAGCATATGGGTTTCACTCATGACTAAAATCATTTTTTCAACTTTTCTCCACGTTTGCAGTGAGCTGCAACTCGGACTATCTGTTCACACACACCCCATGCTTAAGGCATTGTATTTAAGAAATAGGCAGAGTTTCTTTAGCTTGAACAGAAGAGGCAAGAATGGATAAGGTGTGACCCCTCCAAATATTGTGAACTCCTAATCCATAAACCTGGCATGTCCAATGGCAAGAGATTATGATAACTGAACTCCAATATCATTGCTAATATTTTCAAAGTACTTATCTGGGGCACCTTTCTTAATCCAATAGCTAACTAACTTGCAGTGAGGAAGAGGAGGAGAAAGAGGAGGAGAGGGATAACTATTCAACTTTCAGGCCTCAAAGGAAGAGAGACCACAAACTTTAT